ACTTATTTTGAATTAGAGAATATTATAGTAAATATAATAAACATATTCTTTGAATTTCAATGTGACAAAAATAACATTGAACTTGTCAGAAGGTTGGGAAAGAAAGGTGATAACATAAGACCGGTTGTTATAACGTTTAACAGCATGAGTTACAAGTTACATATTCTGAAAATCCTGTCTAGAAAATACTCGGTACTACATTAAGGAGGATTATCCGATTGAAGTCCTTAACAGGCGGAAGGAACTCCAAGTCCACAAGTTACAGAAAGAAAAGGAGAAAGGCTGTACTGCTTTTATAAGATACGACAAACTTATAGTATTAAAAGGCACATTTGAAAAAGAGAACCCCACCAAGAAGGTACTAGAAACTAGAAAACAACTACAGCCAACAACAGAGGAAGAATGGAAAATGGGAAACAAATCTTTTTGAGAGGAGACCAATTGGTGATTAAAAAACTGCAGGATAACCAGCGCGAAAAAAGGAAGAGAGATAAAACTGTATCTCCCAACTTGTCTACATAAAAGAAAGAAAAAACAGAACACATCTAACAAGTTTGAAAACACATCGACTAAAACTAACAATGTAGGACAAAAAGAAATATTACAACCAAATATACTACAATATATAGGAAGAGATAGATCGTTTTCGACCTCCGACATTTCAAAAAACTAACAAACACACGCGAGCAACCTATCAAAACAAAAACAACAACAACTAAAACCGGAAAAGCAAAACAAATATGGAAGAAACACATTCTAAAACAACCTAATCAAGAAGCCTTCCCACCACGGTTGGTCGCCGCGGGAAGATCAGACCACCACCCTCTAACAAAACATAATATATATATATAGCATCCCTCAATATTAGGACTTTAAGAACTCCTGAATCACTAAAAAGAGTCGCAAAAGATAGAAAACAGTGGAAAGGGTTAGAGGAGGCCTTTGCCAAGAGGCACACCGAACTCCGAGATATACTGGAGTGAAAATATATTAAAGTTCAGATATATAAAATGACAGAGTTTCGGAATTTAAAGGCTATATTATTATTATTTATACTCCAATTTATAAAAACATCTACTTCCATATATATATTTTTTTTAATATTTAATGAAAGAAAATGGATTTATCCAATAAAGAAACAATTTCTCGCAGATGGAAAAGAAAATAAAATTAACTCCTATTTGCGGGTAGAGGCGTCACACGGCGGAAACAAGGCTTTGCCTCCGGATGCACCTGTAATTGGCGGCTTCCAATTCTCTATCGACTTCTAACCGCAATGTAGAAAAATAAGCCGTAAGTACATGGATGTTTTCTTTTGAATAGTTTGATTTAGAGTAAAATGTACTTTATAGAACTCATATAGTATCTAATTATTTTGATCGATCAAATCTTATCGATCGATTTGGTCGAGGGAAGGAAATATCATATTCACCATTTGTAGAACTTATATTGAACGATTTTCTAAACAAGTGAACATATTTAAACTAAATTTAAATCTCTCGACATAAAAAAAATAACCGCCAGTTTTCTACACAATAATAATATATTATTAATTAAAGATTAATTTAATTTTTAACAATAAGAAAATAATCGAGGTATAAATAAAATGTCAGTTCTGATAATGTATTACCAACCACAACATTTACTATAAATAATAATTAGGTTCATGGTTGTTTTAAATTATGAACCGTATTCCCATATATTTAGAAGTACTGCATAATATAAGCGTATTCTATGCTAAAGGCAAAATATATCATCAATCTAAAGTGCAATTCTTTCATTCGTTAGTAATAAAAGTCTTTACATTCACCGAGAAAGTAGAGTTTCAGGTATAGAAACATTTTTCCAACAATAATGTTCTCGCCGAGTAAAATGCATCTTTTTATGCCCTTTCAAAGTCCCTCTGGATTTAAAGTGGGATGCCTATAGCTTTTGAAAAGTTTTGCTACGACTTTTTACATCTCCGCTTCAATTTCGCCCGCAATTTATATGCACTTTGTGCGTTTCAAAGCGCCCTACTAGGGCGTTTATTCGCGAGCCACTGTTAACTGCGGTTTACTAAAGATACGTCTTGATGACGGCGTTCATACTTAATGAGCATCCAGTATCCGGTCGGTGGTAACGCAAATTGCCAACTCCGTGAGCCTCCGTTTGCCAACTACTCGAGGCCGGGCTTGCGTGAAAGGCGCTTCCGACCACGCGTTATTGTTTACTGCTGGAATGACTTCCTTTTACTTCACCGAGCGTTTTCTTCGTTGAATAAAAGATATTTTGATGGGAAACGCCTTAGAAGCTAGTAAACTGGTCTATATGCAAAAATAGCCGCAGGATATAAAAGCAAACAACCCATTATCTGAAGCCACAAAGGAAATATAGTTGGATGTTGAAGGAAAATATTCACATTTACACTCGCTTGTGTAAGATGTCGTGTTTCCTATTTACTTTAAATACGCGTAGAAAGTTTAATATACTTTGTTGTTCTTCTAATCGTTAAAGCCTGTAAAAGGAAGAACGCTTTGAAACTCCACGGCTAAACTTCATACGTATGAGTTTGTTTATTTATTAATTACACTCGATATAATTTACCTTATAATACCTAATAATACTGTAATATGCTTAATAATTTTTTCACTTAAAAGTTGGTATTTATGTGTACTTTTTTACCTTGTTTAAATGATTATATGAAGATAGATCACAGTATTATTCCATAGTATTTAATTACATCTTAATGTTGAATGTCGATTACATAGGTCACTTCAAGCATAGCTCTTGCCATAAAGTCAAGATTTATCAACTTGCCTATTAAAAATCGATTAGCGAAACCCCAGTGATGTGCCTTCCCGATACCCTATTCACAACTCGTAATAGGACGGATGAACAATTCTATATCTCGAATAATAGAATGTGAATGAACATATTTCTGTCCATATCAGTATATGTTAAAATGCATAATTTGCCAGAACAATATTTTACGCATTCTTCCAACAATATGTTCACGTGGTCGGTAGGAAAGGATTAGATAACAGATTTTTATTTAAATATTTAAAAATAAAAGTTGCGGGGCCGGTGATGAAGAAAAGTGTTGGATGTAAATATGTAAATATAATAAAAAAAATAAAAAAAAATTAAAAAAAAAAAAAAAAAAGAAAGGAGAAAGAAATTAAATGCATAAAAAAGCATTGCCAGAAAATATTTTTCCATTCTCCAAATATGTTCAATTGGCCGACAATTATTGGCTTCAATTAACGTTTGAAACGATAACAGATACGAGGTTTAAAAACTAATAATAAAAACTATTGAAAGAGCGCCAATTCTAAACACGACACAAATACTGGCGATTTCAGTTCAAAATGAATATTCAGATTCGTTATCGCTCGTCTCTATCAGCGGCATTATTCATAATAGATATAGTGTATGTGTTTGAATATAAATATTTTAAATATTAAGTACATACAGATTGAAAAATATAAATAAAAAAAATCAACTCTATTGGAGTAGTAAGTGAGAAAATAGTTTTAATAATTTTTAAATACAACGTAATATTATTGTAATATGTCTGTATATATAATAGAAATAGCTAAGATAAGCTTCCAAAAAAAAGAATCAATTAAACCGAATATAGGAGCGCATTTATTTTAACATCTTGGCAATGTTATATCGCTCGCAGCTGGCACGCACTTCGTCGTCAAACGACGACTGTTGAATAACACAATTGTATATTTTCAAACTCTTATTGTAGTTCACACACTGCATTCGTTTCAACAATTTGTGATTAATATACTGTTAAGTCAATTGAAGACACTCAGTGCGCATGCGACGTGTACAATCGTGGAGTCAGCTACGAAGGTTTAGGGCGCTATTTAATTTACTATGATGTGCTCACGAAATTGAAGCGTACGGCACTTTGTGAATAAAAATATGGGCGACGATAGACAATATCGACAAGAATGTAAGTAATTTTTTTATTACAGAGTTGTAAATTTTGATTAATTTGTTTTAAAAATTGGCTGTCGTCTCGACTATAATATGTGGCCTAATAATTATTATTTTTTTAAGTATGTTTAGTTTCAAATATTTATCTAAAAAAATATTAGCTTACGTCTGCAGTTCCTCTTATTTTTTTAATATATAATTAAACTTATAGCGTTTTATTTTGTGCTTCAAACTATAGAACTTTAGCGGTGTTTCAAATATAAATTGCACATTTATTAATTTATTTACTTCATATTAAGGTCTTAAGTATGTATTTGGAATTAATGCTATATTTATATTAATTAGTTACTTGTTCCGTAGTCTAAAATTTACTAACGCTATTTTATACATATAAAATAACAAGGAAACACGGTATAAGTTACCTAATTTACCGTTGCTTTATCGCTAATAAACGATCTTCTTGGCAGTCACATTAATATAACACATATTAGCTTATAACTATGATCACTTATTAAAAGGCCGGCAACGCACTCGCGAGCCCTCTGGCATTGAAAGTGTCCATGGGCGGCGGTATCATTTAACATCAGGTGAGCCTCCTGCCCGTTAGCCCCCTGTTCTATAAAAAAAAATAGTTCATATTCTAATGAAAAAATATAAAAATTTAGTAATCGCAATCGTTCGTGCAGTCACTTGAAAAATGTTGTTTTTAACGGATAAAATAATCTATTAAGACCTCCAAGTACATGTGTCCTCGAAAGAATATGTGTTTTCAAACTTTCTCAGAAACTAAAAACCGTTTCAAGATGATTTTTAATTTAAATCAAGAGAATCCACTGTCAAAATCAGTTCTTTTCTCGAGGGGATATGACATAAGGAACTTTGTAAATAATTATATTAGTAAGTCGTTTTCAGATTTGAGTTTTTATGTTTAATATTACTTTTATTTTTTCTCGATTCCTTCCATTCTACACAAACCTGTTGGAGTCTAATATCTATTATTTTAACGTTATTCTATTTCTTTCGCTTATTTTCTTAACGTTGAAATGTTATTATCGTTACGAAAAAGGATGGATGTCCCAGATGACATGACGCGAATAACGAATGGTTCTCCGCCTAACCCAAATAATTGGGGAAAGGGATACGAAAGAAATGGTTAATACAACCTTTTTAGTAAATAAAACATATTGTAGAACATGACTTAGGGAGGTTCCGTCGAAACTTAGGACTAAGTATGTCAAATCCAATAACTTTTTTTATTTTATTATCAATATAGAAAATGAGAATTAAATAATAATTATGTATCTACTTATCCATAATAATTCGCGAGCCCTCTGATTTTGAGAGTATCTATGGGGGCGGTATTAACATCAGGTGAGACGCCTGTTACATGTATTTAAAACATCATCTCTGCGCCTCTTGAGGATTAATTTAAAACCCCGAACCTCTCATATGCGGAATGGTACAATTCTGTATATTTATATATTGGTTTCTGATGTTACTACCGCCGCCCATAGACACTCAACACCAGAGGGCTCGCGCATCCGTTGCCGAAATTTTAAGAAATGGTACGCTCATTTCTTGGAAGACCTTATATTACCGATCCTTATTGGTTGAGAAATACCTCGATGGACAGCTGGTTTCATATATGAGTAGCGCGCCGCAAAAAATGCCTTAAAAAACATTCAATTGTGGAACGACGGACGTCGACGAGATATGGGTGAATTTCATATTCTGCCTCGACGTCCGACGATAGGTAGCCTCTTACTCGAAAAATTTCCTGCTTTGCCTGAAATCAAACCTAGAAATATCCTATTTTACGCTAGGTGGTTAATACGCCTCGTTGACGGATCTTTATTTTAAAAAATATTTAGTAATCCTTTTAATTATTTTATATTTAGCCTTTCTCTCACAATAGGTAAAAGACGGATTAACTCCGTACTCAAAATTACACTTGTTCAATATAATAATTATCAATAAGTTATTAAGTATACGTATTAATTATCACTCAGTAGAATTCAGTTACAACTAATAATATCTTAAGAGAGTATATAAACAGTCTTCTACAATTCTCAAGAAACGTAATTGTTTGTATTTTCCTTTAATAGTTGTTCAATGTAATCCTCAGGAAGGCTAGAAGTAGACATATCAGCTTCGTTATATTTTTAAAACACTTGACTTACTTTGACTTAATGTCCTAGATGGGGCAAAAGGGACTGTGTACACAGTGAGTCTCCATCACGTTCGGTCTTGAGCCTCGTATTTCACGTCGCTCCAAGAGTTTCCCGCTCTCTTTGCCTTATCTGCAATTGTACGCCGCCAGGTTTGCTTGGGACGCTTTTATTGCGGGTTCCAATCCAGCGCCTGCTTGGCGATACGATTGCAATCTTTTTGGAGTGTATGGCCTATCCATTTCTACTTGCGTCGCTTGATCTGCTGGCTAATCGGGGTTTCTCGACAGCCCACCCAAAGTTGCTCGTTAGAGATCTTCTTGGGCTAGTAGATACTCAGATTACGGAGAAGACAGCGGTTGACGATGACTTGAAGTCGGTGCTTGAAGTTTGGAAATATATCCATGATTTACTAACAGTAAACTTTCTTAGACCGTCATCATAGTATGTAGCAGACATACAAAGGATTTCTAATTTGTTGGCATCAACAAACAAAACCAACATGAGATTATATGTCACATTGGGTTTACGTTTTTCCTGAACTTGGATTCGCAGCCCCTGAGAAAAAATTTTTTTTCTAATCAGCGTTCATCGAATTTCGAAGAAGCGATTGTGATAACAACGCTTCAACTATTTCAATATATTGATTATTAATTATATATAAATGCTAAACACTTTAAATTTCTTTAAATAAAAATATTATTTTACCATATTCTTACTTCACCGCTAGTACGCTAGTTTTAAATTCATTTCCGTTGTAGCACCTACAATCTATGCCTACAATCACTCCGATGACGCGTAACCGAAGTTATTCCAACCTCAAAGTTATTCCATTCCAAAGGATGTAATTTCTCTGCCTTAGCCACTGGGGCCGGCTAGTCGGTGGTCTAACCTCTAGAGGATCCTTTAAGTTGGAAAAACTGTTCACCATTCTGCCCTCATTTTGTGACATTATATAAACATCCATTACCATTAAAGTAGCCCCCTAATGATCTAATTTACTTTTTCATAATAATTGAATCTTATTCTATGATATTTGTTTCATAGAATCATACTATCATATTGTTAAACCGTTGAGAAGTGATGAAATAATTTCGATAGATGAATAAATCATACTGTACGAACGATAATAAACATATTTATGGGTTTTACGTTTTTCCAGATAACAATGATTTAACTCCCAGTTCAAGAAAATCACTCAGATTTGAAGAACGATTCGTTAAAACGTGAGTAAGTATTGCTTATGATAATGTCAAAATATTCTACTTCGACGAATATATAAAATTCATAAATCAAAACATTTTAAATAGAAATAAATAAATTTTGATGACTTTGCTCTTTAACTAACACTTTTGTAAACAATAAACAATCTATATCCATGATTTTGTTCTCTTTTTATATTCGTTAATATCCTCTATTCTATAAAAGATATATAAAATAAATATGTCCAGGGTATTTTTTATTGACCTACATAATAGAGTAGAAAGGTTTGTCAAAAAATATTTTTTATCTATCCCAATTTGTGTAACCCCGTACAATGTGACTCCGTAAAAAATAAAATGACTTATGAAATAGTTCATCCTTCGAGTTATAAGCAGAAGCTATTTGAAAATCGGTGATACATTTGCATATGTGAAAACACATTTTTGCTTATTCTAATATTTTTATACAATTACAAGGGCTCGACTAAAAAACATCACAAAAAAATAGTCGGTTGAACAATTTTTTTTTAATTTTACGTGGAATAATAAGAAACTTGTTTGACATTTCAGACATCATGGAGAAGAGAAAATCATGCAAAGGTGGTGTCCAAATTTGCCCACAACTTCTGATCTAAAGCAATATATTGCTGTTATCATATGTTGTAAGTATGAGCTGTCAAGTTATGTTTTTAAAATTAACAACAGTAATATGTATTTCATCTAACTCCTTTATTTTATACTAGTGGTCCTGATTTCGCATGGCTGGCCCTTTGTTTTGTATTTATATATATTCTAAATCCTATGATCATCAGGAATACTGCAAGATTCTAATTGTGAAACTATTTTTAAATTGGTTGGAGTTGGAGCTCTTTCATAAAATTTGTGTATATATACGTAATACACTAAACTAATAAAAAGGAAAGATTTGATTGTTTTTTTTTTGCATTGTTGTCTTACCAGCTCAGTCTTTTAAGGACGTAAATTCGACTCATTTTTGCGTCCTTAAAAGGTGTTATTGTTATCACAGGGAAACAAACTTGATATACGACATATGCCTCTACGGTGGCGTTATCATATATTTACATGTACATACACATATATACGTGATATCATATATTTCTTTTTTATCAACATATAAATGTATACACGAGATTCCTATTATTTTTCGCATAACAGGAGACCATTACATTCCAGCTAAAAGTTTTTATCGATTTTCGATTAATAAGGAATTCATTAACTAAACAATGTTGTCTTAACACGAATAAGTAATCATTTGAACGAGGTTTTCTTAACAGAATATGTTTACTTAGCAATTTTCATGAATAGACTAGCCAACATTCACGACCACGTATTCAACAACAATGCAGTATAATTAATAATTTAATTAAGTACTAGAACATTACATGCACTTAACTTTGGAGCGGAATTTTAAGCCCATTTTTGAGGGGTAGATCTAGGGGTTAGATTATGATTCCCGAATGTAAACATAGAAATTGGGTTTTGTCGTTGGATTTCTTTAATAGAACAGAGGACAAACGAGTAGGCGGCTCATCTGTTGCGGAAACAGAGCATGAACACACTGACACAATGCTCGCAAGTCAGCCTTTAAACAATTGATACGCTCTATCAAATTAGATATCATTATTGTCGTTTGTTGTCACATGTCAAATGTTAATGTTTCGGTCACTTAAACTACTATTAAAGTTATGAAGTTAACTGATTCTAAACTACTGCACCCAATATTATGTAAATAATCTGCAGTTTTATAAGCTTTTTTAATTAACCTTCATTCACTAAAACTTGTAAATTCCTTGAATGATACTCGCACTACGCATTCGCATTAAAATTACAATGGAAGGAATTATATTTTATTAAGCCTTAATAAAATACTTCAGTAGAAGGAAAACACCAGTAGTTTGCCAGAACTAATTAAATATTCCCATAATTTTGATAGTTTGGTTATCTACATTCCACTTTTATTTAAATTATCTAAACGAAATGTAAAGTAGACAAAGTTATGAATGTTTTAAGTAATATTTCAGATAAAAACGTGTTTTTTTCAAAGTTTCCAAATGGCCTTACAAAGATCGCGTTGAAGATTTTCTCAATAATCTATTTAGGGTAAAGATAACCTATGCCTATAAATCATAATTTATCATTCGATTGCGTAAGATTAAAATGTATACAAATCTATGCCAGGAACAATACATTACTCTATAGTATGTCTGGGTGCTTATCTTTATCGATTGCATTAACAATATTATACCAGTTCTCATAACTTAATCCAAGAACAATGGTGTTATTTTGATTATTCATGTACTTACTTATTCTTCATTTATTCAGGCGATTATAAACCAATAAGAAAAGTACCGAGAGTACTTATATGAATAGATTATCAGTGGCACTACAAACTTTTAAGTCTGTAGTGTTTTTTCTAATAGGTCCATCTATATGGCGTAGAGATCAATACAATATTTGGTTCCCTGATTAATAAATAATTTACCTTCTAATATCATCAATATGTATTTCTTTTTTATATTGGTTTCCTCGCGATCTTTTCCTTCGCCGTACGACCTTAAATGATCCTAATCCTTGGTATTGATTTGCTCCAGTTAAAACAATTTGTATGACTCATCACTTAGCGATTAAAAATAGCGGCGGAAAGTTTCTTGCCAGTTCTTTTTGCCCGCTCTACGTCCTTGACTTGCAAACTGGTAGTAAATGTAAATTTACAATTAATTTTTTTTTGACGTTCATAAGTGTACTTGTTTACCTATATGAATGAAGATATTTTGAGTTTGAGAGTTTGACTGAGTGTTAAATGCGAACACAGAAAGTCCATTGGCGCACAGCCGAAGTTCGAACCTACGACATCAGGGATGTGAGTCGCACGTTGAAGTCACTAGGCCAACACTGTTCAATCGATGGATTATGCGTCGTTTTAATTCCAGTAAAACAATACTATATTAATTCATTAGCGTAGTTGTATCTTACTGTTATATGTTACTTTAACTAAATTATAATTGAACACTGCGCAACTTCTAAATTTGTCAAACTATACATATTTGAAATATATAACCACGCAAAATTAATCTGCTTGCGCAATGTACATAATATAAGAATGTTTATTGGAGGATAAGATATATTGTACAAATTTATTATAAAGGTATATAAATAATAATGCTAGTTGTGTTTGCCATTGGGTCTCAGACACCCACTGATTATATTGATGTGCTTAACTTAAGAAAATTTATATTATAGTATAAGATCCCGCTATACAACGACCTTCACCGAGATGCTTATTTAATGAAACATGTTTTATATTAAATTTAATATGTCAATAAATATAATCCATATGGGTTGTCTAGCAAATTTCAGTCCAGAGTATGTTTAATTAATAATTTAAAAAAAATATTTTTTTAAACATTTCACCGGTATGATTATTAGATAAATTCTATACCAATCGAAAGTATGAAGCCCATAGAATATGCAAACTTTATGCTGCCCATTCTTTTCCGGTCACAACTATCGGGTTGCCTGGTATAAACAGGTAAATCTGTACTAGCATTTTGCAACGGTCTGTTTATTGAATGAAATTTAAATGAAATTAAAGATTATTTTATTCTGAACACGGTGGTATAGGGTTGTCTGCGAAAAATCAGTCCAGAATTGCGGTTGTCGAATTTTAAAAAGTAAAATATTGCTCCAAGTGAATGTGTGCGACTGAGAGGTCCCAACCGACCATCCCATGCGATAGAAGAAGACACAGCATAGCAGCTGTTTAAAGTCCGCCCACTTAAAGAATGAGAGTGCGCATGCTATTTGGGCTTGGAAAAGAAAAGGATAGCGATGGACTCGTATAATTATGCATCATTTTGGAGTAGTTTATTATTTAAATAGAGAAATAGTTATTTAATTTTTTTTAATCAATTAATTATTTATGTGTATATTTTTTATGTGACACTAAAGTATATAATATACATCTTTAGTAAAAAAGAAGGTTGTAGTGATTCATATATAATAATACCCTGATTAAAAATATTGATTGAAAAAAATTAAAAAATTTACCTACTACATGCAAATTATAAATCTATAAATGTAAACAGAGAAATTGAAATCAATTGAAACTATTGGAAAAAATTCAAATCCCATAAAAGTGAATTTTTTTAATCAGAGTAATCTTGCAAATTTTGTTTTTATTATAAGAAGACAAAATAAAAAAAGGATGCGTGTACTTATGTACGCGCGTAAGAAGTTAAACTTCTTTGGCTTTTTTTATTTTTTTAAAATATAAAATAATTAATAACAAATATTTAACGTTAATAATATTTAGTATTTAGTATATTATTCAATTATTAATTAATATTAATAATTATTTATTATTTTATTATATTATTCATTCAATTTAATAACTACGTATGTTTCATAACCTTTTAATTATAATAATATAATTAAAAGGTTATGAAATAATACTGATAATTTAGTGTCACGGTGCGCGCGCATCGTAAAAATTTCACTCTCATCAATTTTTCATAACGCGCCTAAAGAAGTATAACTTCAAAAACAACAATTAAAAAATTACTTCTATTTATTGTAAAAAATTAAAAATACAATTTTTTTTAATTATTCAGAATCCGAGTCATAGGACATAAAACTACGATCTTCAACTTCTGAATCTTCTTCGTCATCACTTTCTGTTTCACTTTTTTCGACAATGTCTTCTATCTTTAAAGGTGTATGATCCCCAATGAATCCTACTGGTTTTAAATATTCATCTAACAACCGTCCGCAGTTCTCAGGCTCAAATTTCACGCATATTGGATCCGTTGCATTAAGCCACGTGGAATTTACGAAAATAAAATATAAAATATATATTTTAATATAGAAATATAGAAGATGTATTAGCTAAGATAATTTTAAATCATAATAATTTTAGCAATATTTTACTTTTTAAAATTCGACAACCGCAATTCTGGACTGATTTTTTTTTTATACCACCGTGTTCAGAATAAAATAATCTTTAATTTCATTTAAATTTCATTCAATAAACAGACCGTTGCAAAATGCTAGTACAGATTTACCTGTTTATACCAGGCAACCCGATAGTTGTGACCGGAAAAGAATGGGCAGCATAAAGTTTGCATATTCTATGAGCTTCATACTTTCGATTGGTATAGAATTTATCTAATAATCATACCGGTGAAATGTTTAAAAAAATATTTTTTTAAATTATTAATTAAACATACTCTGGACTGAAATTTGCTAGACAACCCATATGGATTATATTTATTGACATATTAAATTTAATATAAAATATGTTTCATTAAATAAGCATCTCGGTGAAGGTCGTTGTATAGCGGGATCTTAGACCATTATAAAGTATTTTTTTTGAATATATAAAGTAATATATCTATATTTATTTGTACAGAAAGAAACCATTGATTTCAGGTTTATGTATCTGGGCGACATCTTGGTTCGTCCTTGGCAACCTGGTTGTGCCAGGAGGATGTGTCTTCAACATCTCAGCTCTGGTGACACTTGGTTACGTGGTCAGTCATACAGTGGAAAGGTACACCACACTAAATCCAGTTATAACACAGACCCTTGTGGGTGTACTGTGTAAAATGTTTATACCAATAAATATATTGGAAGATAAGAAAGCGGATCTCATTGATTATCATTTAAGGTAAATAAAATTATACAAGAGTATACTTTTCCGCTTGACCACTTTTGATTAAAGTCAGTACCTAGTATATTGATTCAAATATAAGTTATTTTTAAATATAACTTTTATCACGGATATAGACGTGAATTTATCAAATAGTGTTAGGTTGTTTTATAAGCATTGACTCTGTGTGAAGATTGCATAAATAATAAATTCTTTTTACAATGGTAACATTACCCGCCGCCATGTTCTGGTAGTGCGCGAGTGATTTAAGCCGTTCTGCGGAAGGCTAAAGTTGTAGAAAGCCTGCACAACCAGCTTCAAGCAGCATCTGGCTGAGGTAAAACAGCCCGAACTTTGCTATCAAGGCCCTTCAGGCGTCACCTCATCAGTAGCGTCAAATATTATTTTCAGGGAACACTCTGCGTCCCACTGCTCCTGTGTATTTTCTTAGTTGTTTCAGCAAAAAAAAAATAGGTGCTTTGTGCGTTTTCATATACTTGCATAACTCAACATTCTGACGTGCTTTTCAGCAACCATAGTGATTGAAACAGCCAGTCTCTATAATTAATTATAAATTCTCGTTTATCCGTTAAAGAAGTTTTATTTTAATTATTACTTGCGAAAACCAATGACAATATGATAAAGTACTTTTTATGTAGCGAAACTTCAGAGCTTATTAAACCGATATTCAGCCACAATCTCGAAAGTAGCACTGATTTTAATCGCAAAATTCTGTAGAATTTACGTATAAAAATAAATCAGTGGCGCTACAACCTCTTTAGGTCTTGGCCTCAGATTTCTGAATCTGTTTCATGATCATTTTTAAATCTAATAGGCAAGTAGGTGATCAGCCTCCAGTACCTGACACACGCCGTCGACTTTTTGGGCCTAAGACATGTCGGTTTCCTCACGATGTTTTCCTTCACCGTTCGAGCAAATGTTAAATGCGCACATAGAAAGAAAGTCCATTGGTGCACAGCCGGGGTCGTACCTACGACCTCAGAATTTACGTATATTAATAATATATTAATATAAAATGTTTTCTCTTTATGACATCTTGGAAATAGAAGTGAAAAATAAACATGAAATTCCACTCCACTCCAAAATTTATTTTCTTACAGGCGAGTTTATCCAGTTATTATTTTAACAAAGGGCCCTCTAACCTGGAACTGGAATTACATAAGGCACAATCCCGTGAAAGTTTTTTCATTGGCCACACTTCCTTGGATCGTCGAGTGTTTATCTACGGCCTTCTTTAGTTTTATTTATCTTGACTTTCCCTGGTACTGGGGTAAGTGAAAATCGTTAAGTAAATCTAGCTTCTATCCCTAACTTTATCAAATTCCTAAAGAAGCGCTTAAGTAAATTGAATACTATAAAATGTTAATTTCTTGGCTTAGTTAAATTAGCTCTTCCGCTGGTCGCCGTTCAGAAAGTTAAGAAAAAAACTTACGAACGATAAGGCTCATTTAAGTTAAACCTTGTATAGTCATGCACCATAACTACATACTTTTTATCTTTGCATTCATGTATCAATTTAAATTTTGCTCAGTTAAACATGGTTAAACGCCGCTTACTTGCTCAAACCAATGAAATATATAGCATAACTCAATGAAATTTACTTTACAGAAAATAACGTTTAAACAATTATTATATTCAACACGTAGAAAACTAAAAAAACAAATTATTATTACCCATATACAATTTAATTACCCTTTGTGGGAAATGAACATTAGACTATCTTATTCCGAATGATTTAACAAAGAACTATATTAAATTTATTATTAGAATTATAAATTACACATAACAATACATTATCGAATACAGGATGTCTTATTATTCAGACATTCTGTATTCGAATAAGAATTGTCGTCGAAAACAGGTTTCTTGCATCGGAACATCGATGTTTGAATGGGTTTGTGACGTTTTACACGCAATATAATGTCTATAATATTAGGTCCTTACATATGAAATTGGCGTTTTGTATGGGAGGAACAAAAAGTCGAATATTTTTAAATATAATATATTTAATTAATCAAAATATGAACCATTGTTTTTCATGCACTTTTGCCATCTAATAGGTAGTTCATTGATCCCTTTACTAAAAAAACCAGTCGGACGGGAATCAATAAAATCTGTGAAGGCGATTTGGACTGCCCCATCAGAGTTAAATCTTTTCCCTTGCAAGAAGTTGTCCAAATTTCGAAAAAAATGGTAATCTGTTGGAGCAAGGTCCGGGGAGTACGGAGGATGTCTTAGACATTCCAATTGAAGCTCTTCTAATTTGGTAGCCGTCTGTTGTGCAGTGTGTGGTCTAGCGTTGTCGTGAAGTAGCAGTGGCGTGGAGCGATTGACCAGCCTAGGTTGTTTAGCCGCTAGCTTTTCCATCATGGTTTGCAATTGCTGACAATAGACATCAGCCGTAATAGTCTGGCCAGATTTGAGAAAACTGCAATGAACAATACCGGCACTAGTCGCCACCAAACGCTTACAAGTAACTTTTTTGGGGTTAATTTTCGCTTGGGGCAGGATTTGGCTGGCTGGCCAGGATCCAACCGTTGCGCTGAGCGCTTTCGATTATCGTAAAGAATCCATTTTTCATCACAGGTAATGATTCGGTTTAAAATACCTTCATTATTGTGCCGGTTCAGTAATGTAACGCAGCAGTCGACGCGCGTTTGCCGGTTTGCTTCAGTCAATTCGTGAGGCACCCACTTTAGCTTTTTTCCCAATTTGCTTCAAGTGAATTAAAACAGTTTTATCACTAACACCGCAGCCTGCAGCTAACTCGGACGTGGTTTGCGATGGATCCGCTTCCACAATAGCCTTCAATACTTCATTATCAACTTGGGTCCACGGGGCTTGTTCTGCAGGTCGAAATTTCCAGAACGAAAACGTTGGAACCAAAAACGAACTGTGTTTTCTTTTGCAACATGACTGCCATACACATCATTCACCCTTCGAGTTGTTTCCGCAGCACTAGTGCCACGGCGGAACTCGTACTCGTAAATAATGCGATACTTTAAGTTTTCCATTTTGTAAAATGAGTGACGCAAACAGAAGAAAAAAACCAAATGAATGACGGTCATCAAAGCATAAATAAATGAGTAAATAGCTGTACAAATTTGAATTTGGAATTCCTTACCAAAGAGGAGAACATCGTGATTGAAGTGGCCAGTACGAAATACGCCAATTTCATATGTAAGGACCTAATATTATGTATGTCATTGGTATATAAGTAAATTATTTAAATCTTGTCGACGTCCTGGTGGACAGAAAAACTGTGTCCAGTTTGTTTTTGCACTGTTGTAAGCTTCTTGTTATTCTTTGTGATTATATTTACAATAACTAAATATTTCATATTAAATAAATACTAAATACTTCATGGGCCTACTGCCCAAAGGTATGAAGTATTATATTCTATGACCTGATTAGCCGTTGAACTTGCTAGTCTCTTGATCATTACTTTAATCGTTTTATTATTCTTTCTTGTAGGTATACATCTAGGCGCCATTCTATCGTCTGTATCACCTGCAATTGTGGTACCAATCGTCATCGCGTTAAATACTAAGGGTCTAGGGACTAAAAGTAAACTGGCACTTTTAGTTGGCAATGCTGGGGGCCTTGATACAGCCTTCACTGAAGGAATGTTTGGAGTTATCAATAGCGCTATATTTTATGAATCTACTCCTGTTTTACGTATAATTAAGGTATTTTTCTTAATAGTAGTTTTGTATATTAAGTATAACCAAAGTAATAACCTAAATCTATTTAAAAATATAAATCACACAGGAAACGCAAAATGCCTAGTAAGGGGTTAGTGGACTCAAAATACTAAATAATTTTAGCCAATATGTTAAAGAAACCGTGATAACCCAGAGTAGAATATTTAGGTATTATAAATAAATACACTCTATTAATTATTATCTAATAATAATTCAATGAATAACTGTAGATATTGACAAGGGTTGAAAATGATGAAAGGGGTGTAAATTACAAAAAATAAGAAAATTTATAATTTATCTCAGAAAATTTAGTTCAGTGTGCTGGAGTTTTTAAAAAGAGTAATTCTATTTATTCAATTAATTACAGTTATTCAATAGTTTCAAATTAAACAAAATCATAAAAGATCAGTGGAATAGGCCTACCGGGGAAACCACATTTAAAAAAACGCTCTAAGTACACTACCTCAAAGGTGGCGTGGAAACGTGTGCATATTATGACGATTACAACTCTTTCAACTTTTTGAATCGTTATATCTCAAAAACGGTGGCTCTTAGGAAAAAAAAGTATTTTGAAATTTTTTATAGATAATTATCTGATCTACAATTTTTGTTTCATCTAATTTTATGATAAAACTTACCATTTTGCTGAAAATCGCGAAAAACCCGTTTTTGTGATCTTGGACCCCGAGTAAATTTTTTTGCACGTGCCGGATCGATGAGGACTTTTCACATTTCCTTTATAATAGTGTATTGAACAATCCTACCAATATTCAGCCAAGTGGGAATTTATGTAACCTTACCCCTATTTTTTAGTCTAATTTGACCGGATTAGTATTAGTTTTTGGAGTTTAGGATTACCATACTTGCTTAGTTTTGCATACAATTATTAAAATATACCTACCTTCCAATAAATTTTTTATAGTTAGTCTAGATTACATTGTATGTTCTAAGATATCTAAGGCTAAAATGGGCGCTTTTTAACATAGTTCATGATCAGTCTTTTTTCCTTTTTTCTTGTTACAAATATAGTTGCAACACACACGAAATAAGTACTGTTAGAGTAAGATTTAGATCCCAGACTTAGCTTGCTGTAAAAATCCAATACGTGTTTGACATACATAGCACTAAATGTGGTCTTTCAATCTTCTTTGTGGATTCTAAATCTAATCAAGCCACTTAAATAAAAAAACAATAGATTTCTCTTTATTGTAAATAATATAATACAATAAAAAAAATAAAAATAAAAATAAAATATGTTTATTATGGAACATAAGATACATGTATCACTTATTCCACGTCATTAAATTTGAAGGCATCCCTACTCATCGGCAAGAAGAAGAGGGTTAGGCCGAGAGAAAAAGCCGCGTAAAAACTCTCGGTACTCTTTTAAAACAGCAATCATCAAACAACACTTATTTAAAACAAATATCGCAAATTAATTAGAAGTAGCCTGTCTAGCACTATCCCAGGCCCTTTTATCAACTAGATAGTTTTTTCAAGCTTTTTTTTAATACATTTCTTAAATTTATTGAAAGGCAGTGATAAAAGAGCCTTTGGGATTTTATTAAAGAAGAGTATCCCTTTCCCAAAAAAGAATTACTAACTTTAGATAGTCTAGTACGGGGAAATTGCAGCCTGCGTTTTTTCCGTGTATTAACATTGTGCGTATGTTCTATTCTAGTAAACTTATCACTATTTTTGTATACATACATAATATTTTCATAAAAATATTGCGAGGGAAAGGTAAGTATATTAATTTCCTTGAATTTATCTCTAAGAGATTTCCTACATTTTAAATTATAGATTGCAGGAATAGCCCTCCTGCAGGAGAAAATAGTTCGACATCAGCAGCATGCCCCATAATAATAGCCATAAGTCATTAAGCTATGAAAGTAACTAAAATAAACAAGTCTAGCTGTTCGACATGTTAGTGAGCGAATTTTTTTAACCGCGTAGGCTGCAGAACTAAGTCTCTTCGCCAATCGTTAATATGAGGGGACCACTGAAGTTTTGAATCCATGGTGATTCCGAGAAATACAGTTGTATTATCCAGATTCATTCCTCACTGTTTATAATTGGTCTAGTATCCATACCCTTGCATTTTTTGCACAAAATTTAATCATTTTTTGCATTAGTAGAAGTTATTCATACTAAACCAATGGACAATCGAAGACAGAGCATTGTTCACATCGTCAAAATTTTTTGTCGTTTGATTTTAAAAATCAACGACGTGTCATCAGCAAACAAAACTATCTGTTCTCTCACCATGAAAGGTAGATCATTTAATAAACAAGAAAGAGGAAAGGGCCAAGAATTGAGCCCTGTGGTACCCCTATGCCGACCCAGAGGACCTCTTACCATTCACTTCAACCTTCTCAGTTCTTCCGTGTAAATAGGAAGTCAGAAATTCAGCGGTATTTTGCATAGTGCTTTCGTTGGTCTCGTGTTGACACAATCAAATGCTTTGGATAAGTCGAGAAAACACCTAAAGGTCATGCGCTCCTCCCAAGCCTTAACTATATATCTATATAACTCAACACCGGCATCGGCTGTCGAGCGACCCTTGGTAAAACCGAACTGATTATTTAATAATTTAAAATGACTTACAGTTGATTTAATATAATTTTTTCAAATATTTTTAAAGTAGGTAGTACGGAAATTGGTCTAAAGTTACTGGGGTCGGACATACTACCTGCTTTAAATAATGGAATAACTTTACATGTTTCATTAGATCGGGAAACTCGCACTTTTAATACAATTGTTGAAAATTATACTAGATGGGGAGCAATTACATCAATTATATAATATTTTTACAGAAATACCCCAAAGATCGGTATGTTCTTAATACTTGTTCTAAATATCCTCACTATTCGTCGACACCAATGGGTCGGAATGTAAAACTGACCTTGCACTCGTTTACATTACTTTGAGCAGCGATTAGTTAGGGGGAGATGATTGAAGAGACTTAGTATCGAAATTGGAATTAGAAAGTACTTATCAAAAAAATCGGATTGATTTGTTACGAAATAGTTCGATGTCTTTTGGATCCTGACTCTTCAGTTTCACTATAATTCATTGATATTTTTAATCTGTTTTGAATTTAAGGACTTGGCCGGTAACAAACTTTCTTAAATAATTTCGAATAATTTCGAACATAAAGAATAAATTCTTCAGTATGATTGTATGACTTTTAGCGTAGGTCATACAACCGTTGTCTACTTTTATAAATTCCCGCTTGCCCAATCACTAAACGATTTACACTGCGAATGAGAACTTTCTTTGGGGTAAAGATGTTTGAACTCTTTATAAACAATCACTTAATTGTATTGTGTATCAAGGTAGTACCTACCGGTAATAAAGGTAGGTGTTTACCTATATTTGCTAAACTCACATCGCTTTTTATTTACTGGAACAAACACACTGGTTTATTTACTTGTTTCACCACTTTACATTTTAGCGCCACTAACTGTCACAATGATCTGAGCTAAGATCATTGTATTGAGGTTTGATCCTCTGCATGTAAATAACTAAATTAGCAGTGGAGCTTGTATTTAGTGGGCTCAAGAAACAAGTTAACAAGATTTAAGATTTTAATAACAATTGAATTTTTTACTATGGGGTATTTTCTAATAAATTTATATTGAAGTCACCATAGGTTATTTCTACGAATGTAATTGCCATGGTGCTTGGAAAACACCATATAATTTTGTTTTTTTTTGTTTCCAGAATAATCAATCTAAATAATGATATATTTGAAAACCACTGTGGTTTCTAGTCATTTCACAATGCAGGAGGGCGACAAATGCATATGAAAATAATTCTAAACTAGATTTTTTTTATGTTTGCTAACGTTAAACTATTAATTGACCCGAAACTTTAATTGACCGGGTAATCCATTTATTATCACAATTCTTAAAACTATTTTACAGGCATTTACGGCTATATTCTTCGGTGTAGCCCTTGGTGTAGCATGGGGAGTATTAGCTGACATCTTCCCAGATCATGATGATACTCATGCGCCGGCGATTCGAAGCTTGCACCTTTTTGCAGGAGGGATCTTATTCACTTACGCTGGCGGATACTTTGGCTGGGGTGGTATATGTAAGTTTTTAAAGATATTGAAATAACTGTTGTTGTTAACTCCTCGTTTAATTTAACGCGTTTTCATCTGTAAATCCTGGATTTGCCTTCTATCGAAGCAGTATACTTCTTTCTTATCATCTACTTTTATAAGGGCATACTTTTAAATCTGTAACGTAGTTGAATTATTGAAGCTGGCTACTACTACTAGTAATAGGCTGAGCCTACTTGCTGTTAACTAATTAGTGACCCAACGTCTATTTTTGGCATATGTCTTCACTCTCTCTCTCTTCTCTCTCTCTCTTCTCAGCTTGGTTCTTTATGTTAATCCCCAACTGAATTACGTTCTTCGTTGTTCTATACGTTAATCTCTGAAGCCTTTACGTTTTATTTCCGAGTAGCGAGAACATGATTGGGAAGGTTCATATTTCATTTAAATGTTGACCTTACATACATGTGATAACTTTGTATTCACAAAATATATAAATTGACATTTTCAATACAGCCTATCAACAGTTTTAATTGAACAGTCAAAAACAATCATGTAAATGGCTTACGTGAAATTAATTTTATTTTTAATAGCTGTAAGCAAATTTAATAAAACTGACCGAGCTTTGATCGGTGTGTTACTGACGTTACGAGATTTTATTAAAAATAAAATAAAAATTATGTTTCTGCTGCATAATGGGAATATGTTTTTAATAATTAATATAATTGCTAACATGACTCCATTAAACGGTCCGATAACCTTAGATGGGGTCACATTTTTGTATTTGATACATTTGTGTCTCCTACAGTGTTGTCAAATAATTATTGTTCTGCGGCGAGAATCGTACTCGCGACCTTTACATATAATAACTACTGAGCCTAACCTGTATATTTTATATGAAAAAACATCACCGTCCATATTAGCGTAAGTTGGTTAAAAAACAAAGAGTATAAAATTAATACAGTTATTCTAGCAAAGCTCGTTTAAAGTTATAAGACAGCTATTATTAAAACTTTGTTTACCTACAGGTGCGGTGTCAATATCAAACTTAATATTGTTCGGTTTATTACTTCAGCAACAAAGCCTCAATAGGATGAAAAACTAATTTAGCGTTGGCATGTTCAGGTGACGGCAAAAGGCATTCCGAACGTGACCAGAATCTAAACACTGCACCCCAAACTATTCTAGATAACATTATCTTTATTGCAATTCTATAATCGTTTCATTTGCATTAAAATTTATGTTATAAATAATTGAAACTGGACTTTAAGCTAATGTTTCAGTGTCACTGCTTATGAAAACATTTGTTTTAACTTTTTAATTATTATTTTAGCTACGTATTTTTCATACAAACCACGTATCGAGATTTTTTTGCTGCGGTTTTTTTTGAGGTACTAACACTACAATATACCCGATTGGCTAAATAATAGCTATAGATTAAAACAGTACAAAACGTAAGCTTACGTCATAATTGCGAATCAATCAAAACTTTCGAAACGGGTCCATACAATACTATTAAACAGATAATTCACAATCCAGGTCTTGGATTCAAATATCTCTATCATCTTGTCCTCTTTCTCGTTCGTAACTTACAGCCAACAGCCAACAATCAGTTTTCTGAGCTTGAAAGGCTTCGTTAATTTTAGTTTAAACTGTTTAGTTGTTGGTATTCGCACTGTTTACTTCACCCATTGAGCAAGTTATTTGGTCAAAAGAAAGAAAAATCTATTTATGCATGACAGGTTTACCTCAGAGTGATGAACCGCATAATGTTATTAAAATAATAAGAAAATATAAATGTTTTTTTATGGGCTTGTAAATAATTATATTCAGCCCTAATTTTAAAAATGTTACGCGTATACATTATTCAGAAAATAGACTTTATTTTATTTACAGCTAGGCAGACACAAGCGGGGAATTGAGGTAAATTTAAAATTCATGGAATAATGGTTCATGACTTTTACATTAATAAAATATTTTAACTTATTTCAACTTAAACGTTAATCATTTATACAAGTCACGCCCGTTTTTAAAAGTTTTATTACGCACCACACACACATTAATTAGTGTATAATTTTGTATGAAACAATTTATTATCACGGAACTACTGTAAGTACTTTGAATGCTTGTCAACTAAATATAAAGGTTTAATAAAATAAACTATAATAATGTAATATAATAATAAACTATATGAATGTAAAAATGAAACGCAAATGACGACATTCACGCGTTTTCTAAAATTATAATTAGTCAAACAGAAATACATAAAGAGCTCTAAGTATGGACATAGTTACTGTTGTGAAATTGTGTGAAAATAATCAACGAAAAAGACGCAGAAATATTTACGGCTTCATGCCCCGGGCATCATAATCAACATTTACTTAAGAATACTGTACCATTCTAATGGTGAAGGAATTTAAAATCGGACAGTTCTTCCTTTTTGGACTGTAATTTTTATTAGAATAGATGAAAAATAACTAGATTTTTAATATCAAAAAATGACTTACAACTCTTATAACTATTTAGTAACTTAAATACACCGTACAAAGGAAGTTTTAGCGCGGTGCTATGATTTAGCGCGTCTGACAATTTCTAATTATATTCTATTTATTTTACCGTTATTGTAAGGTCATTCTCCTTTTAATACGTAGGAAATTGACATTGACAGATTAGTCTTATAGGATACAAACCTAATAATCTTTTTGTATGAACGCCTACGTTATCTTACTGTCAACTCGACACCGCAAAGATATTCTTCGTAACGTATGTACTATTGTTAATAAGTTTTATTTTCGGAATATACCAAAGGAGAATGACATTAACGTGATAATGGAATAGGGGCAAAAGCGCGCATTATCTTTTGTCGGGTTTTGACTTTGAATAAAGGTTTATTTTACTAACGTGAAGCAGTTTAACTCTTGTGTTTGAGAGTATAACTCAAGCCTGATATCGTGCGTTTGAACATGTATGCTCCTTGCTATGCTATACTCATATATCTGAAGGAGAAGGAGAAGAAAATACCTTCAACTAAGATGTAGAGTATTTATTTGTTCAATAAATGTTTGCCAACATTAACACACCATGCTTTATACTTTATAACAAACAGAATTCTTACAAATATGTGAAAACCATCCAAAACCAAGAGATAATATTAAGTTATTGCAATTTTTTGGAATAGATATCTCTGCGATGCTGTAAGAAAAGTGTTCCACTTACACATCCAATGTTAGTTAGTACCTAGGACGGTTCTGTGGAAGGAATGACAAAAAGAGAGATAGAGTAGGAACCTATCACGAACTACGACTCTAATATGTCAATCCCAATCTTTAAATACGATTGCCATGCGTTGAATCTCTATGAATGAAAAAAAACTATGAATTTTTCCCTACGATCCGAAATAGACATCGTGTGTCTTACTTCCTATATAATACCGTCTACAGAGTCTAACCATACCGTCTTTTGGGTGTTACGTGCCTTGTTGTATCCAGGTCAATATGAGATATGACATAAGTCAATAATTAAGAATATGTTAATGTAATTTGATACTTCTAGTCAGAGCGGCGTAACATAAGATATTCTTCGTAATTATTTCAATGAGCTTAAGTGTTGAAAACATTCAGAATGCGGTCTAATTGTTGAGGACAGTATTTAACCTTCATTTCAATTATATTTCATTCATTGTTAGGCTAGGGCAAATTATTAGCTTTATTGAGCTAAAAATACTTCAATAATATGTTCAACCCTCTAATAATCTATGTTCCATTATCAAAAACGTAGTGGCAAATGGAGTTACAACCTTTTTTTTATGAATCCGTTCCGAGCGAGTGTTAAATGCGCACATAGAGTCTAATGGTGCATAGCCGTGGATCGAATCTACGACCCCAGGAGTGAGTGACGCACGTTTAAACCACTTGGCCAACACTGCACAACCGCAGTATGAGCTTTAAAAAGCTAAAATGTTTGTCCTGGTCGTCCTCGATCCCACAAATAATTAAAATGCAAAACCGTTTAAAATTTATTGTTTTCACTGTCAAACATTGTACAAAAGTGTAAAGGGAGATTACGTAAGCGTCAAAGCATATTTATAAAGTTACTAAAATTATTTTTCGTTGTAAAAAGTTTATGTTAGCACTACAATAAAGATGTCGATTTTACAATAAAGATACTACAAAGAAAAATTCACGAAAACTCACTGACACTCGTTAGTTTTTTTTTATATAACAGGGGTCAAGAGGCTCACCTGATGTTAAGTAATATCGCCGCCTATGGACCCTCACATTGCCAGAAGGCTTACAAGTGCGTTGCCGGCCTTTAAGAATTGGTACGCTCTTTTCTTGAAGGACCCTAAGTCAAATTGGTTCGGAAATACTTCAGTGGGCAGCTGGTTCCACGTAGAGGTGGTGTGCGACAATAACAGCCTTAAAAAATACTCAGCATGTCGAGGTGATACGGGTGTAATTTCGTATTCTGCCTTAACGTCCGATAGTGGTATAAACGGTGGTATAAGTTTATTAAACAGTCACACAATTCCGATTAAAACGCATTTCATTATAGACTTATTTCTTTGAACCTAAAGCGACATTTTAATTAGCGCTAACATCAAGATATAATAGATTCACAGTATAGATCAAAAAGCTTTATTGTACTAGCAATTAGTTTTAATACAGGTATCGGAAGAACAACGTAGGAACTAAAAAGTATAAGATTTCAAGGAGATTATCCCGCTGTAATAAGCATTTATCCACTATCAAAGGTATATTCACTGAATAGATAATGTTGGCACCGTAAGCGTGTCGCGAGTGTACGCTTTACATTCATTACCCTATCATGGGTTTTGGTCTCCGTTTACATGTTTTTTTTATTTTAATTTGCAAGTAAAATGACTGCCTTCTTGCCTGACAAATTTTACACTGATGTCAGAAATGTCGCTTTTCTCACGTTTTTTTTACCGTATGAACTACGTAAACGAAATGCGCAGAAATAAATAGGTGTAATCCTTATATGTAGGCACAACAGCACGTATACAAACGAGTTAAATGTCTGGGAAGGCAATTATATTGCAGAGGTATGAAACTGGTTTTAGAACAAAATTATTTTCTATTTATTTAACAATTCAATATTGTTTTAGCTGGAGTGGCGATAATGGTGAGCGCCGGCGCTGCAGCTACTCGCTGGGCACAGCGTGGTTGGGCCCTCAACAATAACCCTGTATCTGAAATATACACCACCCTCTGGGTAATATTCGAGTCAATGCTGTTTACCTTGAGCGGGTATTTTATTGAGGTAATGATAATTATTGATATGCGAGTTCATTGAACTTTAGCGTAAGCCGATTTAGTAAATAATGATAGATTACGGATTTTGGTATAAATTTATTCATATTTTTTACCAAACTATCTTCGCACGTTCATGGAGTCAAATAGAATGTCCAAATCTATTAACGCAAATAACATTTCACATAAAATTAGTTTAACTAATATTATTTATACTTAAACAATATGTAGGTATGCTTAAAAGATAACAAGAAAATATGACATGACAAATTATACACACATACACATCAGTTATATTAGAACAAAGAAATGATATACGAAAATCACACGCGACGTATTTTATGGGAAAAAATCATCGTAAAATCACAGTAGAACTTTGTACAGTTATATTAATGCATATTATTTATTTAATTTGTTTACTTAAGTTGTCTACAGTTTTCACTGATGTAGAATAGTGATTGGATTTCGTAAACTTTTTGTGTAATTTATTTGCAGTGACTATTCGTGTTATCATTGGTGAAAAGTAGACAAGCCACGAATATTCAGAATATAACCTATTCGGCTAACTTTACAACGAGGCTTTTGATATAAATGGTACTTTATTTTTCGGGTTTTCACTATTTGTTTTTTTATTATGACACCCTTATCCAAATGAATACTTTGTTCAAATTGCACTTGTAGTAAATGAATATTTATATGATAGTTTTCAAATAGCAAAAAATAATAATTAAGTACCAAGCGCTCATAGTATAAAGTTTAAAATTAAAGTGCTTAAAACCGCTATTGTTTTATTTCAATACAACTCTATTCTATTGCATATAAACGCAAAATAATAAATTATTTACCCTCGACGCTTAAAATCGGTTAAATTTTTCGTAGGTAAATAATTAATAGTTGCCTTTTATAATAACACAAAATAATCATGACACTTTTCATACACAACATACATATTGTAAAATAAACAGGACTAGGTTTCATTTATATAACCTTTATTATTAATAAAATCGTAGCGCCACGTACTGACCAAATAATTTTGCTAAAACTTTCGGTGGGTTCACTGACCTGGAGAATGTCAACTATGCGGATGGACGAATGTATTCGTTGGAAATCAAGCAATAAGGCTATGCAGTTAATTGAAATGTCAACGAAGCAGCTACAGCATATGTAGTGCCAAACCAAACATCTAGTACCCTACCCTACGCTACCATTATTCTGTTTGCATTCAAACTCTTTTCCAGTAAGTTTTCTTAAGATATATGCAATATGATACAATAGTTATCTTAGCTATACTGTTTTAGGTCTGATTCTATGAATTGATAAACATGATAAACTCTTGCAATTGCGTTAAACCTATATGAAATTTCAGCACAGATAACACTACAAATTACGTTATTATATACAAATCCCCAGCGGGTCTATCTGATATATTGTATTTTCACCTACATTTTCACTAATACTGCTAGACTTGATTACGGCATTACTATGAGCAGCAAAATAAATCAGTGTATTTCATCTAAATTCTCTTTTTCATATACGTTGAGTAATGTTTTTTTACGTGTGCCCTAATGTAAAATTAATTCTAAGAATATTTCATAGCTATTTAGGATTTAGGATGAGATTCAGAGATTCTTTGCGAAAAAAATTGTTTTAATACGTTTTTGACAAAATCTGAATATCAATGTACAAAATAAAATATGTTTATTATGGAACATAAGATACAGGTATCACTTATTCCACGTCATTAAATTTGAATCTGTAGGCATCCCTACTCTTCGGCAAAGAAGACAGAGGGTGTAGGCCGAGAGAAAAAACTCTCGGTACTCTTTTAAAAGCAAATCATCAAACAACACTTATTTTAAAACAAATACCTACTAACAAAATACACTTATGAACGTTAGTAAAAAATTGATCCTTCCAAATTTACATTTATTGAAAGTTCTCAAATAAAGAGCGTAGAAAGGGCGAGAAGAGCTGTCACTCTCTTAAATTGCCAATATTTTTTTACAAAAGTTTGTAAGGACCTGCAACTATTACATCATGCTATAATCACATTTTAAGGCAATTCATTATTTATGACGCGGGAATTGTACTATGACCAAGTATCGACTCTGTACCTATCGTATATTTATGAAGCTCTGTGTGGATAGTCAATAAATTTCAAGACCAGCTTCTTTTCTTATTATCTTTAAAAAAATATCACGTAGTATATATTATATGTATTATCTAGTATCCAAATGTATACACTATACATAACAGATTGCTATCATTTACGAAAAGATTACCGCAATACCTCATTTTCGAAAACATCAAATTTCCATACTTACGAGAAATAAGATATTTTCCAGCGTAAAACCGAGCAAAGTACTTAGCCATCAGCGTTATAATTATCTGATTACCTACTTACAAGGAAATAGCCGAGAAACAAGCTCTGAAATGTACTCACACTATTCCCACTGGACGATACGGGACTACTTTTATGTAAACGCTGTTATACCAATATCCAAGTCCATATTTTTTTATATGTTTTGTTATTAAGTTTTTAAGAGCAATGTTATTGAGGTCATAGGTTCGATCACCGTGCACCAATGGAGTTTCTATGTTCGCATATAACACGGTACAGGTCCAAAAAAGTCGACAGCGTGTGTCAGGCATAGAAGTCTGATCTCACACATGCCAAGAAAGACACGATCACGAAACAGATACAGAAATCGGATGCACAGACTTAAAAGCTTGTAGCGCCACAGACTTTTTGTATAGTTTTGAATTACATTAATATTTTTGTATATAATTGTAATATACTATTACTGTCGCAGGTCTCTGACGTCAGCGCAGCAGAATTCGGACTCATGGTAGCCTGTATTTTCTCAGCCTTAGTTTTTCGGTTACTAACTGCATTCCTAGTAGCTCTTGCTAATTCTTTGCCCGTAAAAGAGAGTATTTTTGTAGCAATTACTTGGATACCAAAGGCTATAGTTGAAGTAAGTATGATATAATTTATTTAGTATTATATTAGATAACGACGTTTAATCTGGGCGGGGCTATCTTTTGTCGTAGTGTCGTAAAGTGATAATAATTATACAGTGACCGTGACAATTATTATGAAGTATATGACAAGACAATTAATGACGGGTTCATATTGAAACATATTTTTAGATATTTGCTTTAAATGTTGAATTACAATATTCCTTAGACGTTGTAACAAAATTAAAAGCTTACGTCACCAGTAATCCGGTCGTAGTAAGAACTAATAACATCGTCTGGCATCCCAGTTTAATTCACTTTGAGTCGCATGCGTTAGAATAATCGGGCCAAGCACGCTCCAAAGCTCCAACTCTAATCTACACGAGTCTGTAAACTGGACTTTCAATTAACTTCATTAAGGAAACTTTACTTTCGTTGCATATTTATATACCGTCTTTATACATAGTACATCCTTTATACTCCCGTCGCTATAGTCCGATTGAAATAATGTCACCTTTACGTTCATACTATATTCATGTTATTTACGCTGTTTATACAAAATTTTCTGACTTTTGACTGCAGAAACTCATGAAGAAAACAATGGTGCTAAATATGTAAAAATCCTTAGTTCTTAAATATAATAAATCTTAAAATAATAAAAATAGTATATTATAATAACAGAGACTTATGTTATTCAAAATAAATTAATGCAACTTTAATAACACGTAACATTCGCGTCCCTTCAGCCGTGCGTTGAAGATAAACGTTGAGGAAACATGTCTTTGACCCAGTTATATTAAAAAAAGGTTATATTTGATATTTTATTTATATTGAATTTGTGTTTCTGTACGCCGTGCAGGCCAGTAGTTCAAGTTTATGTCTACTTGCTCCTTTTTTTTTATTAGGAGTGGCCTTCTTAGTGCGGCATACGAGAATTGCTATTTTCGATTAAAAAAATAAAGCTCATCTGACCTAAATTTTACTTCATATGTCTTTCCTATTTAATCAAAGACAATTACTCATTAGTTAATTCTCTTGTTTAAAGAACTTAATGTTCACCTTGACTGGTCTTTATTCAAATAACATTATCTTGGGCATTAACATATTAGCTTCCACCATGTATGCAGTTTGCTTAGTGTTTATCTCAAACCGTCTCTATAAATATAGAAAAGTATATCTATCAGCTTCTATAAGACGTACGACTCGACAGTCACGGCCACTGTATCACGTGGATGTCCGTCGTTCCACAACTGAGCGTTTTGAGGCACTTTTTGATGCGCACCACCACTCTGTGATCCCGCTGCCCATCGAAGTATTTCCGAACCAATTCGACTTAGGGTCCTTCATGATTCCACATCGACTCTTAAAAGGTAGCAACGCACTTAACAGCCTTCTGGCAGTGTGAGCGCCCTTGAGCGGCGGTATTACAACGTCTGCCCGTTTGCCCCTATGAAAGAGAAAAATATTCAAAGGTGGGATTGTATCAAAATTAAATATGCTAATTTTACGTCAAAAGGGTTCCTAACAAATCTCTCGACTCTGTAATCGTGCAGTGCACGCAAACCAGTTGCCATTATTTGTTTAAATAGGGATTAGCTTGAGCATTATTTTGTTTGCGAGCGTTTGTTATACCTAGATAGTTCATTTATCGTTTTATTAAGTGACTCGTTTTATGGCACGTTCTATGAACAGATCAAAAAGTATGTATTGACGTAATATATTTTTTTCTATGGCAGTACAATTGCTATAGAAAATTTCATTGTACTAGCCATATAGGATTGTCAAATTGGGTCCATAAAACGCCACATAAAAATTATTATAACAAATAAAAAAAATAAGATAACATATTTATTGCTTTTAATATTGTCATATCATTAACATAAATTTGTAACGTTTTAGGCCTGTCTTGTCCGCGTAGCATCAGACTCATTATGGAAGAACGATACAACGGATAAAGATAGAAAAATTGCAATACAACACTCAAATATGATCATTATAGCTATAATAATAACGTCGACAATCGGATCCATCTTAACGCGTATAATGGCTCCAATTTTGCTCTCATCGTATCCACGTGTTGGTCCTGAAGGTGAGATTCAATACTTGTGAAGAGGAAATAAATATAAATTTAATAAACTTGTATTTATATATTTAATTTTAAAAGTTACACCACATTACACGTCACACGATAGTGCCCTAATAATAGTTTAAAAGAACTGCAAAGTTTAACTTAGCGGATTACCCTAAAACGTAGCGAGAGCCATTACCAATTTTTGATTTTCTTCCTTGAAATCAGTACCGCTGAATGCACTTCGTCAGTTTTGTTGCTCTTGGCCTACAAGAGATATTAAGTATTTAGAGTACATACATGTGTATCCTACCCAAAAAACGGTGTATATCATATCGCTGGTGAGTTTGTTTCAGTACTATGGCCTGCTTAAATTAATTCATGGCACAAAATAACAGGACGGTCCACACGAATTTCACACAACACATAAACGCGCGCGTGGTATTTGCCATGGTTGCGGAATTATTCTCAAATTATGACATCCTCTAAGATTTGTCGATGACCATGCCAGTTTTATTCGATGATTGAAAAATGTGCATTTTATAGTACAAAATTGCAAAACACCTAGGAGTTAATCTTAAAAGATAAACATATGTATATATATGTTCTAGAATTATTCCGTCTGTCACTAAATGCACTGTCCAACTCATTACGAACTTTTCAAATCGAATCAGTTTCTGAGATTAGTGCGTTCACCCAAACATCAGCTTTCAGCTTTATAATATAAATTTAGATTTATAAACAATAAACTTTTGTTTATTACATCATTTATTGTATGTTACAATTTGTTGCAGCGATAAGCACCAAACCAAATATTCCGTCCAAGGAAAAGCGGCCATCGCCGTGTCTGGATGCCTTTCAATACATCGATACGTAATAAATTTGTAGCAAACAGTACTGTTATTATTTTCTTTACTTTCTAGGACTTGACCTATTTTCTTATACATCACCTCACAGTCACGACAGACGATGTCCTGTACATACGTCTTAAAATACAAACAAATTTCAAATCTTTGAAAAAAACGTCTAATTTTTAATCTTAAACATTATTGAATAAAAAAACAAAAAATCAATCTAAAATATTCAAATCGAGCACACAAAATAATCATCAAAATCGACCCCGCACTTTAGGAGTTTAATTACAGAAATATATTTATATACTGTAATATATTTATATTTATAAAGATATTACAGTATTTTAAAATATTTTGAGGAACCTTTTTGCCTTTAACATGTTTACCCCTCTTTATTCTATTATTACAAACATTGCCTAGTTTTCCCTTACTAATATGGTGAATTTCTGTTTTATGATGTTTTTTATGAATCATTATTTCGATTTAAAATTTCTCTAATCTTCTTTAATTTACAACTGAAATTTACCTTACGACTATATCTATGTTGTCGAACAATATTTTTTTAATTACATTAATATTATATAATTCATTGGCTACCGAAAGGACAGCAGTCGATATCAGTACAAGGTTTATAACAAATAATTGATTACCAATAATTCGTCTATTATATCGATTTTTGGGATACCCGACCCGTAACTGGAAAGTCGAAGACCTCAGAGTACTTCCCACATAGTTTAGACTACGTCAAATCGATTAATGATTAGAAATAAAAATTATCATCGTTGCTAAAACAACAGCAATAAATATTTTGATGACGTAAAGTAATATTTAAAATCATCATTCATCATCATTGTTCAGTTATAAAATACGAATACGAAACAATTCCTTTGTGACGTAATAACACTAAAAATAGATTATGGAATCGTGTAAAATTATAACGTATATTTAAAAAAGATTATTGTACTGTATCAGCGAATTAAGTCTGTCTAAAAATCTCTGTAATAAATCAATAAAATTTTATCAGTGATTACTAAGAAGTAGTAAATAAGTTAGTGACTCGCTCCGACCATGAGCATTATTTGGTCTGTCTGTCCTATTAAATTATTGTATAATGAGTACTTATAAAAACGAAGCAAACCAAGGCAACACATTGTAATATTTTATCTTATTCTGTATTCCTTCAGTATATTAATGCAATCACTGAATGAAGACTGACTTATATAAAAACTAATTATTAAATAAGAACTGTGGTGAAGCGGGTCGCGCGTGGAGGAGTGTCGTTATCTCCATTTACCCCTCTGCGTCCGCCGTAAAATACAAATACGAACATTGAACTTAAGCTTAAAATTCTTACACAAAATTTATATCGATCTAACGCTTTGCGAAAATCCAAATATACTTACATGTACCTAACACCGCTTACCAATTTCTCACTACACCCTGTCAGCCAACGACAATAGATTTGTATTATCTGATCTATGTGGAAGAAAGGCATGCTGAGAGGAAGTGATGTGGGGAATGCATTGGTACAATTAAAGAGTGCAAGGATATTTCAAAGACCTTCGACAGCGTAAACAGAATCGCGATAGGCCTGTTTTGAAATTGCTTCTACAATTTACTTTAGGAACGGGGTCATGCGGGATGTCTTCCATTTGGAAGACCCGTGAATATAAAATAATGTTGAAAATAAGCGATATAGGTATTATTAATTAGTCTGCCTGTCCTTTAATGATATAAGGTGGAGTCATTTCTGAACCCGAAAGTGTTTTAGATCGTAATTTTATTTTTTTAAGTTCTAATTCGAAACGTTTGATGTCAAAGGGATTAGAGTATGCTTACGAGGGGTTACGAGTGGCGGGTGTTGCGGGTGATCTGCCAGAAATACTTAAAGTGACTAGCAAATGCCTCTGCCTCGTCACAACCATAATATTCGACATCATTATATAAAATTGCAGATCCTTTGGCTTTTGGGTTTCTTCGAGAATTAACACATAGCAAAAATAGCGAAGGTTTTTAACTAAATTTAATGAGTTTTGCTAAAATCATTCTTAATGATTGAAGACACGCATTGTCTTGCACTTTAGTTCTTAATTTATCAATGATTTCATTACTAAAATATACAGGATAGACCCTTATAGTTTTTATGTATAGGTTCCAACAATATTATGCCATTTTCGAGGTATAAAATTAAATTAGTTTTATAGCTAAGACACAACGCCGAACCCTTGAGCGTCATTAAGTATTTTGGTTTGTAGGCTATATATCAGAAGCTATAAAACTTACTCAACTAAAAATCTCCCAAAAACAGGTGGAATGATGTGACCAGTTAAGGGTTTGACTTAGGTATTAACCAGGATCAAGCTTTGGCGCTAATATCAATAGATTTGGTATGACATTTTGTTTCAAACTGTATTAGAAATAAAATATCATACGGTTATTGTCACACTAATTACTTCCATTAACATATTATAAATTTTCTCCATTTATTTTAATTACATTTAAATAAACGATAATGTTTGACATACTTTTCATTACATGTATGAAAACCAGTTGGTTCAAGGAACGACTGATTAATCTTCCGAGTTATTAAATTGTAGCGACAAATTTATTGGTTCGGTCCATGACGCCACTGTCAGCTCCATACAGTCGTTTTTGAAAGTCGTGCGGGCGCGCAGAACTTAATTATTATTTTATAAGTTTGCAATTTGTGTGCGAGAAAATTCCCAAAATTGTCAATGTATTCAAGTAAGTAAGAAATTTCTACACTTAACTATCTTTACATACGTTTCTATCATTTTTACACTATTTAATAATTTTTTTAAACTTTAAAAGGTTGAAGACTAGGTTTCATAAGAATTTATAAAAATCATTGAAAAATCATTTTTCTTAGCATACCTGTGTGATATTAAAAACAATAATTTACTCCAACATTATTATAGATTCATGCGTTCTGGGGTGATTTAACAGCAAAGTCCCCAAATTAGTTTTGTAAGCAGAATTAAAATAGAAAGACTAACTAAAATATCTAACACTGACTGAATTAACAATTATGTATTTATATTGTATATTATATAATTTATATGTAATATAATTTTTTATGATGGTGTAAGTTAATTTTTCTTTTCTACCGAATTAGTAGTTGCTGTAATGGTAGAAAATAAGCTTAGAATAAATAAATTTAATGCTATGTGCAAAACATATAGTTGCAAATATATTTACACTATAACGTTTTATAATTTATAATATTCTTAACCTACATAGTAAACATAATAATAACTAAAAATTGATAAATAGAAAATTAAAACAAATTTAAAAAGTTTGATCCCTGTGGCAATGTACCTTGTGTGTGCGTAATTATTATTAAATGTAAACCATTAATATATACTTAGATTATCCCGGCAGACCTCACTAGTTATGTCATTTGTGAATTGCATGCCAACTTTGGCGGACTGTGATCATATTTATCGATAGGCGAATTTACGACTTTGGCTGTACTGTGTAACATTAATGTATGTATCTGGCACCATGTTCCATAGTTTCACGCACTCCAGGATTTCTGTCGAGACTCTACATAACAAATATTGTTTGTGTTTACTGAAAATAATGTCTTACGATATGATATCATGTATTTTTTTTAATTGTTCAGTATGTGCAGATGGTTGATGTGGTTCACCTTCACTGAGCAGTGTGTGTTTCCATGGTTACCTTCTTTAAGAGTTAAAACGTCAGTTAATAATCAGGAATATTCACTCTACACACATTATAACTACTAATTATTAAATAACTATACATGATCGCGATTTTTAATCTCAAACCAGAGAAAATATATCTGCAGTTCTCTATTTGCCTAAGGAATATAATATCATAATAATTTAAACAGTATTTTTATTAATCATATTATATAAAGAATCGAAACAATAAAAATCGTAAAAAGTTATTCTAGTAATTTGTGTTACGATAAAACATGATAATTGAATTCCACAATACTCGAAACACTTCTATTAATAACTAATATTCAAACAATGGCATAAAGAAATTATTTGAGACAATTACGCCCCGCACTTGACCTCCTTATTCTTACCTTGTTTTTTAGCAAATCTTTATCGTAAACAGTGCTTGAAACAGAAGTGGTTATTAAATCCTACTCAAATAAGAAATCTCTGTAATTCTTTATGTTAAAGAGTATTTAGTTTATGAAAGAAATATCGTACTTATTCAAAAATGTAAATAAAAAATAAATATCGCTTGTATGTAAATGGATATATTAAACCGTAGTGAAGCCAAATATTGTCTTAAAAATACGATGAGACGAATTCAAATAAATTGGTACTTTACGTCGATGTCAAATTATGCATTTTCCCATTTTGGACAGTGGAATGCAACTGACACAGAAAACCGTTAGCAGTCATAACCAGATTATCGACCGTAAGTCGTAATAAAAAGGCTCGCCGAATCAAAATTTCGTTAAACGAATTCATTGCTTGTTGCTGATATTTGTACAATAGTGTAACGTCAAAAAACATGGACTTATTTAAAGTGTCTTTTATGTGTAAACAGTGTAGGTACTTTACTAATAGAAATTAAATGATTCATCAATGCAAAACACTTAACGTTTATTGATGGAGGTGCATGTATGAACGTCATATTTAATACCTAATTTCAGATAGACAGATGTTGACAATCATTGATACCGATGTGTATATCATAACAGAGGAAGTGAAAACGTAAGTAAGTAATGTTTGCTCACTAAATTTAGAATGAATCTCCTATCTTTATAAGAACGTTAATTGCTGATGTTCATCTTATAATAATAAATCAAACACATGAACGAAGACAGTATTTTATTAGATACACGCGCGAGTATCGTTATGAACGATATGCGTTGCACGCCGTGAGAGCCTTTTAGTAATTGTAATAAAAACATGTTTAACAATATAATATTAAAAATTATAATATTGCAGACCTTCGGACGTGATTCCGACAGTCAATATCGATAGTATTGAAAAAGAGGAACGGACTAAGA